AAGAGTCGGGACACTCAGAGCCCTAAAGGTTTCCGAAAGCAGAGGAGGACAAGGGCACTACCCGGGTTTCCCAGAAGCACCCTGGTGTCTTTTGACACATTCTCCCCGTTTGCGTTTTACTAAGATCTGTGCTCAGCATCCCGTTCATTGCTGATTGTCTCCTCGTGTCCCGATGCGAAGCCACTTTCCTATCATCAATCAAAATCAAGCAGGGGTCCCCAGGGAAATGTCAAATGGCAACCACTCCAGAGGACGAGTAAGAAGTGATCTGAGACCTTGCCAATTGGCCAAGTCTATGAGAGCAGGGAAATTTCCATTCAACAAATATTTTGGAATAGACATGCCAGATGTTGTGTTTGCTAGTTGTAATATGGAAAAAAAATTCTAGAAGCACTCAGGCATGTGTCAGAATGAAAAAGGGGGCTTATTAGTAAGTTTTCAGAAAATTAAAAGCTGTCTTGGTGAGGAAAAGGCCAAGAAAGTTGCACTGAGGAATTTTTCCAATCATGATCATCTGATTTACATTCTTTGAGTGTAGCAAGCCTGTCCAATGGGAATTCTATTATGAACAATGACCCCGTGAGAAGGTCTCTAGATTCAGATGGGATAGACGCAAGGTTGTATTTTGCCTCCTGCAGACTTCTTTAATTTTCTTCAGATTCAACCTGAACTTGCACATGAACAATTAATGGTCTGTTCCACAGCCAGCCTCTGACTTCCTGTTGGCTGGTGACATCGAAGTTCATATCTCTTTCCCACAGATGTAGTCAATCGGATAGTATTCTGTCTGGCAAGATCCGCGTGTCTACTTGTGATTAGTGTTGTGAAGAAGAAGAAGAAAAAGTACTCCCGATGAAGGAATCATTAGTCTAGCAAAATCCTATCATATGGTATCCAACTTCATTTCTATCAGCAAAGCCATATTTTCCAACTACTGTCCCTTCTCTTTTTAATTTTTGACTTCCCATCACCAGTAAATATCAATGCATATTAATTGCATGTTTGGTCAGTTTTAAATTGAAGCAACTTCAATTTCTTCATAATCAGCTTTATTTATTGTAGCATAAGTTTGTATTGATTGACCTTCTTTGTAAGGGTATAGAAAATATCCTATCACCTTCTGAACTGTCTTTCAAAAGAGATCTTGAAATGATCAGGGAGGGTTAGAGAGATGGAAACACTGACTTTAGAAAATATCCTCGATGGAGAATATGTCCAGAAACGTTGTTGTTGTTGTTGTTGTTGTTGTTAGGTGCCATCGAGTCGACTCCAACA